TGTTCAAAACTGGAAATTATGCGACAGCCTAAATAAACCTTTCATATTTGTGCAGACCTTATCTTATAATTACCGTGAACAGTATCGCCATGTACATGTGATACAGTGACAGTTGCTTCCTAAATATAATAAAAAGGAGTCCAACGGCAGTCTACGTATTTCCTGAAACTGTGGTATTCTGAACTATATTCTAGACTTGCATGGGCTGTATTGGGTACATGCATTTCAGGGTCAGGGCATGCAGACTATATATTAGATTACAGGTACATTAGGTGTGTTGTCACAGAACTCTGGTGAGACACACCCTTAGGGCCTACAGGACGAACATAGATACCCTGCAATGTCACATTGTTATAAGAGGCGAAGTACTGACTGGGTTATTTACCGGGCGCCATCATAGAGCTTGAATATTGAAAAATGTGGCTTCAATTAATATATAGACAATCTCCTGTACAGTGTAAACATACATGACCATTAACAAGTATTTGTTCAAATCCAGTGAAGCAAATATTCCTTAACTCAATAGATATACAGTGTTTTTTGGTCACGTTTACCATTCCAAATCAATGACACCCCCACCATAATTTCTTAGCATAATTTTTAAATATTGCTATGTACAAAATTTATGAGAACACCCACAACCCCAAACTACCCAGAACTAAATGGGTGACGCCCCTTTAAAATCGCCACCATCATTCTCCGCCACCGACCCGGCCCCATAGCCATAAATTTTGAACGGTCCTATAGTGGGATAAATATAAGATTACATATGAATGGCAATAGTAGCAATCTCACGCGCACTGAACTGTCAAAGACTGCTCAACATTGACGAGCATCACGGGGGAAGGGTGTTGGTGAGGGTGTCTGAGCCCTCCTGTATGAAGACACCCAAAGTGTATCAGTGGGACAAATATACACGGACAAATGTGGGCGGGGGTAAAACAATGTTTCTGGAATTACGAACAAACGCTGAAACTTGATTCTGTGAAGGTTGTCATCACTGTATCAACCAATCAGAACACACCTAGACAGGCACACTGGCACAGTCATTCCAGTTTTGGCGCGACTATATAAGATTGAGAATGCGGGCTGTGTTACATTCGGCTATTTTACTTCGATCAGCGAACAGCAACAATGCCACGAGCAGGGGAATTTCGTCGGGGTCTCTCGGTCCAGCCAAGGGAAAGCGCCTGCCTCTGTCCCTTCTTGTCCAGATCTGCATACCGATACGACTCCAACAAAGATGGCCTCACCACGTCGCGTGACCTCTTCGAAGAATACAAAGCCAGGGCGAATGTGTGGACAACTGACAAGAACCTACAGAAGATCGCCTTCTCTTGTCAGTTCAAGGTGGTCGCTATCAACGCGGGCTTTGCCTACGTGGACACTTCACGCCGTGGATATCGTATCTCACAGGTTAGGTTCGGTCGAAATTTGGGGGAGGGTCACCTGGATTTTTTGGCAGAACCTTTGGGTTATTCGTTGAGGGGGTACGCTACTCGTAGGTCAGTGTGGGAGAGGGAAAGGAGAGGGGGGGGTGGTTTACATTTTCAGGCCTGTTCATTTGTTTTGGACGGCCATCGGAATTTTCAGGGTGATCGTATTCACCCGGATGAAAATTTGGGGGGTACCATGAACCACTGCTTTGAGTCTCCAAATTGTAAGATTAGGCGTGATAATTTTTTTGGGGGGGGGCCGGAGGCTCATAGCCAGAAGGTTGGGGCACTGCGCTGGAGGTTCATAAGGTGCACCATCACGTACGTCAGTGCTGGTGCGGAGCTGACGTGGAATTATGGGGACTACCGGCACGGACTCGAACCCTTCATGAGAGACTCCTGACATGTTCCCCCAACGGCCCTTTTCAGGGCCACATATATCAAAAAGATAACTTCATGCATGACTTAAAAGCTTACGTTTAATTGAAACAGATTTTGAAAGATGCATTGTCACAATTTGTGAAAATATTCAAAAACATTTATGCAGAAAAACCTGAACACAATTAATCAGTCTATGGGTTTTACCAATATATATTTCGTTTATTAACATTTATAACAAACATTCATTTTTTCAGTCCAACTTCCACAGACACAAAGTGCTTTGAGTAGAGCCAGTGGTTGACAAATAATGACCCTCTCTATAACAGAACCTCTGAGTCCCACCCCGCCCTGTTATTAGAAGAATATCAAATAGTGGGTCCCTACCTTATACAAACATGAGAAGTCGGATTAACAGGTGTTAACTTTAAATTCAAATCACCGGTTTGTCTGGTCCACACTGCCCGCCTGTTTGCCCAGAGTCTCACACACCACTTAAAACACAATAGTCCTTAAGGGAATGTAAAAATACCACATCTGTGATTACCTACTTGACAAAGTGGAAATTCTGAATAATTGAATTATATTGGCAGCATCAAGGAATATCTAGTGGATCCACTACGTCTTGTTCACGTTGGAATTTAATAGATGATAACAAAGTTTGACAAAGGACTTGTATAAACAAGACGAGGAGAACAAGATTCACCAATAAAACATAAATAAGAATATCTGTGAATATTGTGCCCTGTCCCTAACTGGCACTGACTCAGGTCTAGGTGAGTGTGTATGCTCAAATACATACAATATCTTACATCTAAACACGAACCATACGTTTCTGACTTGTACTCTGGTATATAAGGGGATTGTTCGTTTTGACTGACAGGGTATTTTGAAATTTACATCTTTTTCTTCAATACTTAAACTCGTATTAATAATATTACGATGTACATTCCACATACAGCCTATGTACCTGGGAGTCATGTTATAAGAAGGTTAGGTAAAAGTTGATTAAATTGCCACACCTTCCCATATACAGCACTGTACTACTGTACCAAGTTTTGTACAAGGCCTAATGTAGATACCCATGATTGTGTACTCCAGCTGTTTTAACGCCAAGTAAGTACTAATCAAAATGTATGTTCATGTGAGCATCAGCTTCTGCTCTAATCTACAAGTGCAACAACACAAGAATAATGTTGCTGTAAGTAAGCATATATAATGAAACCTGCTAATACAGACTCTTGCGATGATTGATCAACCATCCTGATTATCAAATGTCCTGATTAACGATCTTTGTTATTTTTATCAATGTGGATTATTGTTGTTTTTGGTTGTTGTTCTTTAGGCAGTTTTATTTCAGATGAGTGAGTGAGTGAGTTTGGTTTTACGCCGCTTTTAGCAATATTCCAGCAATATCACATAAAACAATACACAGCTAGTCAGAATCATTATGATTTCTTACATCACATATTTATGTACAAACGATCCCTGACTCAAGGGAAGGGTCCTCACAGAATCTTGCGTACCCTTGTCGTGTATGGATTTTCTCAAATCCTTGTGGTTATTTGCCCACGCATCTGATTAATGTTCTGTCAATAGATTCCTTGCTGCATTTCTGTCATTTTGAGAACATCTTAATGGTATAATCAAGCAAAGCCCCTTCCGCCATCACCATGGTTTATTTGGTCCAGACTCAAACCCGGCACATAACAGGCGAGATGGTGCAGCCGCCGGTTGGGGGAGACACTTAGCACTTAAAACATCTAGTGTTTCTATAAACATATGGGGGTCCGCTAATCGTTGCTTACAATCCTAGGCGACTCTTGTTCTGCCATCATCTGGGATATCATTAAAAGGTCTAACGTCTTGGTCAGGAGAGGATTTGTGAACATTACACAAATAATCTAAGAGACCTATTTTGTATGTCAGTTTTAGCTGCATTTATTATAACAGTTGGTTGGGATACTGACAAGAGCTAACGTGTCTATTTAGATTTGGAGCCTGAAACACTTACTGAATATCTATAGTTAGGTGCAGTTGCTATAGTAACTGGTTCGGAAACCGACCATTGCGGATTTGTAGATATATTGTAGATTGGATCTTAATGGGGAAAAAATACAACACAATATGAGCAGGGTAAATCTACTGCCAAATAAAATGTATTATTTATTCGAGCTGTTTGTCAACACTTGTGTGTTCGAGCTATATTTGTTGCTGTTGAATAAATACAGAACGTAGGTGAAAAAAAATACCCAGTCTAGACTTTCCCTAGAAACAAACTACAGTTGGTGTCATGGGTCAAAATACCAGCACATGATATGTGTATGAATGGATCGCTGAAAATCAGTGACACCAGGTGTTCACCAAAAGAGTAAGCATGTCCCACCATAATGATGGAACCCACCATTCAAAACATTTCTCTGCAGTGGAAGTACTTTTTGCCAGAGGCCATACAGCAGTGCTCCTGCCATGCAGAGGGCCTGTAAATAAACCACACAATCAAGTGATCGATGCACCGGGGAATCTAAATCAGCTGACTCATTTAGAAGAATTCAGTGTAGAATATATACACGAAATTTAAGAGTATTTTATTCGGGTGAGAATAAGTGAATTCTATAGCGAATGCCAGGTCCCACCTCAGCTGTTGTATTACAACCAGCGTGAGATAATATTATAGTATTACTATTGTCGGTATGGAAGACATGGTACCGTTGGGCGTACTTGTCCAGTTCAAAGTCAACGTCAATGTGTATATGTTATACATATACATTTAATTAGAGGTATGTCACTGCCAGCACACGAACACATACAGATCAGGAGTTACCGGGAACAGCATAGAATCAGAAATTAAAACAACAACAACAACGATAACACATACAATAAGAACAGGTGTTGTAAAGGGTGTGACAACATGATAGCTCATCAAACTCAAACATTATCTGGTGCTTCGTGCTCTCAGGTTCCCAATAACTTGTCAAATTAGCTGTCACAGACTGGAACTTTGCTTGGTTCTCGGTTCCCACAGTGCGCTGTATTGTCGTATATTGCAATATGTAGAGACGGGACCCAGCTTTGGACGATCGAGTGCTGCGACACCAAGCGGAAGATCCAGTCTGCGAAACAAAATGGCCACCATGTATGAAGATTTTGGAGATTTCTTGCCGAATGATGATCGGTCATGTGCGACAAATACAAAGTGTCAGGCAAGAGAAACCGGTGCAGTTTTGCATTAGGTAGGTATATGTACCATCATTGTCTAACGATTCAGATTGATACGAATGTTTAACAACGGTTCTTGCAAGAGTTGAATTATCACTATCAGCTGATATGGCACTGTTGTCTTCGTGAGAGGTAAGCTCACAAGAGAAGAAGTATTTTTGATTAGTGGTAATGTCAGTTCCTTCTGTACATATAAACTTGGACATTGTGCTGTATGGACTCCAGTTATCATTTTCTATCAATTGGCTGTTCGTGTATTTTGGTATCCGACGGTGTCTATCGTTGCATTTGACATGTGTTTCGCCCTGTCACCTGTTTTCGTGAGTACCCTATCTCGTGGTACATTTTCATAGGTTTCGCTGCCTGGGATGTGAGAGTGAGGCTTATGTCAGTTAAGGCTAGTCTATCCAACCCTTATCATTATCCCTAAGACCCTTTCTGCTTACAGTTCAGGAGCAAAGTGAGTCATTCACTTGCAACATGGCTACCTGACTGGCTAGGTGACTCACATACTAGCTGCCTGGTTGACAAGACTGGCTAGGCACTGACTATCCAGGTAACTTATTCAGTGGCAAACTAGGGAGAAGCCTCACGTAGGTTTCCTGGCTAAGTGATTAACTGTCTTCACTGGTTAGATGAATGACTCACTCACTGACTGACAGGCTCGGTGACTCCAACACTGGCTGGCTGGCTGGTTGGTTGGCTGGTTGGTTGGCTGGCTAGGTGACTCACACTGACTGGCCAACTGACTCCAACAATGGTGGTTTGCCAAGGTGACTCACATACTGACAGTGTTTACCTAAGTAGGTGACTCATACAGTGCAAGCTGAGTAGGTGACTCACATATTGGCTGGGTGACACAGTGGGTAGGTGACCCACACCTTGGCTGGCTAGGTAAGTGACTAACATATTGGCTGGGTGACACAGTGGGTAGGTGACCCACACCTTGGCTTGCTAGGTAAGTGACTCACATATTGGCTGGACATGACACAGTGGGTAGGTGACCCACACCTTGGCTGGCTAGGTAAGTGACTCACATATTGGCTGGGTGACACAGTGGGTAGGTGACCCACACCTTGGCTGGCTAGGTAAGTGACTAACATATTAGCTGGACATGACACAGTGGGTAGGTGACCCACACCTTGGCAGACTAGGTAGGTGACTCACATATGTGTTTCACCCTGTCACCTGTTTTTGTGAGTATCCTATCTCGTAGTACCTTTTGACAGGTTTTGTTGCCTGGGTGTGAGAGTTAGGCTTATGTCAAGTAAGGCTAGGTTATCCAGCCCTTATCATTATCCCTAAGACCCTTTCTCTTATCAAACAGCTCTGGAGCAAGAATACTCATTCACTTGCTGCATGGTTACCTCACTGGCCAGGTGACTCACATACTATCTCCCTGGCTGACAGGACTGGCTAGGCAGTGACTAGCCAGGTAACTCATTCAGGTAACTCATGGGTAGGTGACCCACACCTTGGCTGGCTAGGTAGGTGACTTTCTCATTGGCTGTCTGGGTAGGTGACTCACTGGGTTGGTGGTTAATTTTGATGTGTAGTTTGAGTATAATAATGTACAATTGGGATGGAGAGTCCAAGCAAATCAGGGTTGAAGGATATCTTTCCCAGTTCGAAACAAGTGACAGAGCTCCAGATAAAATTTAGCTCATGTGGGTACTGTACCCACTGTATTTATATGGAGTGGGTATTATGAATGTTGAGTGGGTATTTCATTTTCCGTTACCCACTGCTTTCAAATATGTGTGTATTTCAGTCATTTCACTCACCTAAGTATTACGTCATTGAGTAAGGTTACTAAGCAGGTATGTTCTGCCTCATGTCATACCTAATCAAAACCAACTTAAATATAATGGAAATGATTTCATAAAAAATCACTTATCCTATACTGACAATACAACACTAGTCCTATACTAACAGTACAACTTGATACCAATCGAAGTCTTTTTCATTACGCAAGCGATTTTTATAAATATACTCCGTACGCATTTGTTTTAAACTTATTGCGTAACTTACATTTTAAATGCGTAAATGGTACGCAACAATTAGTTTTTCAATGCGTAATTGGAAATTTTCTATGCGTATTGTACCCGGATACGCAGCTTATCTGGGCCTCTGAAGTGATACAGTATAAATGTCTATAGATTCAGCTATATTGTGCACAGATATGATGTTGATGTACTCAAGAAAACATAGCAATCACATGACTGACAATTCTATAGCAGTTTCAGCGTACAACCTCTTGGTAACACAAGTGCTGATGAAATGGACTGGTCTTCTTGTTCCTCAGAACTGAACCCGATAAAACACATTTTGGATGAGCTGGGAAGACAAGTGGGACAGCAGATGGGTGAACTCTTGGCCTTGCAAGAACTTGGGCAAGTACTCGCTGACCAATGGTTGTGTGTTCTGACAGGAGACATTGTATTGCTGGCTAAATTGGTGCCAAAATGTCTGATGCTCTTTGTCAATCAGTGAGTCTCAATGCAGACAGAATATTTTGTGGAACTCTCTCCTTGTAACAGCAATGTCCCATATCTAGATATCCTGTAACAACGAAGAAACAAGAACAAAGGCTGAGTATATGATTAATATTTGATTCATTTGCTGATTTTCATCAAAGCAGCAGCTAAGCAAAGGAATGTAATTTTGTTTGGGGTCACTGCTGAGACTTGGGGCAGGTCAAGTTGACCTTAATGGTGTCACCACCAGTGACAAGTAGAATAATACAGCTGTACAGCTGTACCCATGTAGGTCAATGCAGCTGTACCCCATGTAGGTCAATGCAGCTGTGCAATGTTACCCCATGTAGGTCAATGCAGCTGTACCCCATGTAAATCAATGCAGCTGTGCAATGTTACCCCATGTAGGTCAATGCACCTGTGCAATGTTACCACATGTAAATCAATGCAGCTGTGCTATGTTACCCCATGTAGGACAATGCAGCTGTACAATGTTACCCCATGTAGATCAATGCAGCTCTGACATGTTACCCCATGTAGGACAGAACAGCTGTAGAGATGTACACAATGTAGGTCAGTACAGCTGTTTAGCTGTAACCCATATGACATTGACGCTGTAGAGGTGTACCCTATATATGACAGTGAAGCTGTCGAGGTGTACCCCATATATGACAGTGAATCTGTCGAGCTGTACCCATATATGACAGTGAAGCTGTAGAGGTGTACCCTATATATGACAGTGAAGCTGTCGAGGTGTACCCCATATATGACAGTGAATCTGTAGAGCTGTACCCTTATATGACAGTGAAGCTGTAGAGCTGTACCCCATATATGACAGTGAAGTTGTAGAGCTGTACCCCATATATGACCGTAAAGCTGTAGAGCTGTACCCCATATATGACAGTGAAGCTGTAGAGGTTTACCCCGTATATGACAGTGAAGCTGTAGAGGTGTACCCCATATATGACAGTGAATCTGTCGAGCTGAACCCATATGTGACAGTGAAGCTGTAGAGGTGTACCCTATATATGACAGTGAAGCTGTCGAGGTGTACCCTATATATGACAGTGAAGCTGTAGAGGTGTACCCCATATATGACAGTGAAGCTGTAGAGCTGTACCCCATATATGACAGTGAAGCTGTAGAGGTGTACCCTATATTATATGACAGTGAAGCTGTAGAGGTGTACCCATATATGACAGTGAAGCTGTAGAGGTGTACCCTATATATGACAGTGAAGCTGTCGAGGTGTACCCCATATATGACAGTGAAGCTGTAGAGCTGTACCCCATATATGACAGTGAAGCTGTACCCCATATATGACAGTGAAGCTGTAGAGGTGTACCCCATATATGACAGTGAAGCTGTAGAGGTTTACCCCGTATATGACAGTGAATCTGTCGAGGTGTACTCCATGTAGGACTGTACAGCTGTATTCCATGTATGACAATGCAGCTGTACAGATGTATTCCTTGTAGGTCCATTTAGGTTTAGAGGTGTACTCCTTGTGCAGTTGCACAGCTGTTCTCCATTCTTTCTTTGTCCACTAGTTGTGTAACCTCAAGATAATATTTGCTTTGCACTTGTTTCAGGTCCTGCCTGATCTAAACAGTTGGACACAAAGCTTTACAGATGCACAAATGCAGTCCCAGCCAGTCAGCCGCCCAGTGCCATCCAACCTTGACTCTGAACCTGTGAGAAGTCTTCAGCACAAACCTGTGTAACTGTGTGACAGGGCACATGTATTGCATGTGCATGGGTTAAACTGCTGGTGTGGTGAAGGGGATGTGTTAACTCTTTAGTACTCAACCTAGTGACTATCCTGGGTAGCTGGGTGACAGGGCTCATGTGTTGCATGTGCATGGGTTAAGCTGCTTATTGTGTTAAGGGATGTGTTAACCCTTTAGTACTTAACCTAGTGACTATCCTGGGTAGCTGGGTGACAGTGAGTGAGGTTGGTCCAGATGCAGAAATTCTGTGAGCCAATAAACCCAGAGGGATTTCTAAAAACATGAAGTATCGCCAGATATCAGGTTAGGACATTTCTCCACTTCTTTTGGTGACAAATGGATATAGTTTGTTGTGTCTTGATGTCCAGTGTAGAACATTTGGCTATCTCACCAAATTGTTTCATTTGATATGAAGATGATGCCATTCAGGCTCCAATCAATGTAGCCATGCGTTCGAGCTGAGGGAGAGTGAGCATCTTCATTGATGCTGCTCAGGTCTCACACATCACAAGTGATATTTGATTTCCCTTCATAATGTAGGCGGGGCTGTGGGGTAGCCTAGTGGTCAAAGCGTTGGCTCGTCACGACGAAGACCCGGGTCCAAATCCCCACATGGGTACAATGTGTGAAGCCCATTTCTGGTGTCCCCCGCCGTGATGTTGCTGGAATATTGCTAAAAGCAGCGTAAAACCAAACTCAGTCAGTCAGTCAGTCAAAATGTAGGCTCCCTATACTTGCATGTGCAACAAAAAGTAGATCTGTGTATTCATTGGTTGTCTGGTCTATGGTGTAGCATCGTGGTATCTTGGTAGATTTCATAGTAGAATATTTATTTGATGGAAATAGAGGATGGTCAGTTTCCATGGTAACACTTCAGTGTATTATCAGTTAGTATTCTGATTAATGTTTCCAGGGTGATCAATAGGTCATCTTGAGCTGCCTTTGAAGATTACTTGATGAAGTAACAGTACTGATCACGTGTTTCTGTAAGTTCAGTCTAACTAACATCAGAATCATTTATTTCTCCTGTACTTTCTAAACTTTCTCATCAAATTCTTATTTGACTTTTTTTGTCTAAATGGTCAAATGTAGTAATGTCCTTATCCTATAGCACTGTGATCTGTATAGACTGGGCCACCCATGTCTCCAGACACAGACCAGATACAGCACCCATTGCCCTACGCCCGAGTCCAGTGGTTTTTTTCTGTCGGGCAAGCAAATTTGTATATCACACTGTACCGGTGTCCAGTTGATATTCCAATGTTAATTATGTTGTTTATTTAAAAAATCAACAAGAAAACGGCTGGTATAGTGGAAAAATTATCAGGGCAAGTGATTTTACATGTGCCACTGTACCGGAGTACACTAGCAATTTTAAAGTTATTTCCACCCCTGAGCACAAAGAGCAACAAGGCTCTGTGGCTCACCTGAAGTTTTAATGATTTAGGTAGAAAACACCTAAAATTGGCCAGGGTATAGAACCAGACCAGCTATGACACTCCACTGGTATTGCATGTCATTGGGAATGGTAAACTGGTAGAGTCAATTTCTTTTATTTATGACTGTTGTCCAAGCTTCTGCTGCAGAAACACTGCACATGAACAGCAGAATGTCTTGGAGAGAGCGCCAACTGTATTTTGCCCCACATAAAAGTGTACAAATATAAGTTTACTCCCGAAACTTCTGGTACTTTTTTCTTCTTCCAACTTGGCAGCAAAATGTTACATCTGTACTGCTTGGTCCTTCATCAGTTTTGCAAGGTGTCCAAGAACACCTGGTGTCTCAGTGCACCAGACTGACAGACAGACAGACAGATGGTTGTCATGTTCTCTATTAATTCTTGCAAGTGGCTTATGTTGCTGGCTGTTGTGTCTCATCAATGGACAAAGGGAGACAATTTCAAAACTTTGGTGGAAGAGTTTGCTCCCTTGATGAGCTGTCCGTGAGCAATTCTCAGAGTGCTGGTATAGAATATTTAAAGGCCAGGTGAGTGTTCTGCCAAGACAGCGGCCTTGCAGCATCAGTGTTGATTGGCATATAGTATTAACAATCGGTAGGATATTAGATATAGATGAGTCGTCATATACAATGTTTTTTACAACTTCATATACTGCTGGATGTTTCTATGTCAACCACAGAAAAAGTAATAGACTTTGCTTCTTTTATCACAGGAAACGGCTGTTTGTTTCATAATGTTTCTGTTTCGATTTCTGTTTAATTTCAGAACAGGACCTAAAGAGACATGGTAATGGCAGTGATCACCTACAGTATGTTGAGGCTGATTAGAAAACATGGGGTGTTGCTGCTGCTGAAATATGTCCAACATGTCCAGTTTTATTTTTCATATGATCTCTCAGTGTGGCCCCATAAGTTTTTAAAATGATCCATGCATTTCCAGTCAAGGGGGTTGTTGTCCACACTTGTGCAGTTTCTTGACAGAACACAGCAAGAGTAGAGTTACATCACAGGGTGCAGTCATTCACTCACTATATCAGTCACTTGATTGTCTGGTCCAGGCTGGATTATGTAAGTTCTGAACTAGAATATAACCAGGGTTAGGGTTAGATACACTGTCAGGTAGATCACAGCCAGGGTAGAGTTACATCACAGGGTGCGGTCTTTCACTCACTATATCAATCACTTGATTGTCTGGTCCAGACTTGATCATGTAAGTTCTGAACTAGTATATAACCAGGGTTAGGGTTAGATACACTGTCAGGTAGATCACGGTAATGGTAGAGTTACATCACAGGGTGCGGTCTTTCACTCACTATATCAATCACTTGATTGTTTGGTCCAGACTTGATTATGTAAGTTCTGAACTAGAATATAACCAGGGTTAGGGTTATGGTTAGATGCACTGTCAGGTAGATCACAGTAAGGGTAGAGTTACATCAGAGGGTGCGGTCTTTCACTCACTATATCAATCACTTGATTGTCTGGTCCAGACTTGATTATGTAAGTTTCTGAACTAGAATATATAACCAAAGGGTTAGGGTTAGATACACTGTCAGGTAGATCACAGTAATGGTAGAGTTACATCACAGGGTGCGGTCTTTCACTCACTATATCAATCACTTGATTGTTTGGTCCAGACTTGATTATGTAAGTTCTGAACTAGAATATAACAAGGGTTAGGGTTAGGGTTATGGTTAGATACACTGTCAGGTAGATCACAGTAAGGGTAGAGTTACATCACAGGGTGCGGTCTTTCACTCACTATATCAATCACTTGATTGTCTGGTCCAGACTTGATTATGTAAGTTCTGAACTAGAATATAACCAGGGTTAGGGTTAGATACACTGTCAGGTAGATCACAGTAAGGGTAGAGTTACATCACAGGGTGCGGTCTTTCACTCACTATATCAATCACTTGATTGTCTGGTCCAGACTTGATTATGTAAGTTCTGAACTAGAATATAACCAGGGTTAGGGTTAGATACACTGTCAGGTAGATCACAGTAAGGGTAGAGTTACATCACAGGGTGCGGTCTTTCACTCACTATATCAATCACTTGATTGTCTGGTCCAGACTTGATTATGTAAGTTCTGAACTAGAATATAACCAGTGTTAGGGTTAGATATACTGTCAGGTAGATCACAGTAAGGGTAGAGTTACATCACAGGGTGCGGTCTTTCACTCACTATATCAATCACTTGATTGTTTGGTCCAGACTTGATTATGTAAGTTCTGAACTAGAATATAACCAGTGTTAGGTTAGATACACTGTCAGGTAGATCACAGTAAGGGTAGAGTTACATCACAGGGTGCGGTCTTTCACTCACTATATCAATCACTTGATTGTCTGGTCCAGACTTGATTATGTAAGTTCTGAACTAGAATATAACCAGGGTTAGGGTTAGGGTTATGGTTACATACACTGTTAGGTAGATCACAGTAAGGGTAGAGTTACATCACAGGGTGCGGTCTTTCACTCACTATATCAATCACTTGATTGTTTGGTCCAGACTTGATTATGTAAGTTCTGAACTAGAATATAACCAGTGTTAGGGTTATGGTTAGGTACACTGTCAGGTAGATCACAGTAAGGGTAGAGTTACATCAGAGGGTGCGGTCTTTCACTCACTATATCAATCACTTGATTGTCTGGTCCAGACTTGATTATGTAAGTTCTGAACTAGAATATAACCAGTGGTAGGGTTAGATATACTGTAAGGTAGATCACAGTAAGGGTAGAGTTACATCACAGGGTGCGGTCTTTCACACACTATATCAATCACTTGATTGTCTGGTCCAGACTTGATTATGTAAGTTCTGAAATAGAATATAACCAGTGTTAGTTTTAGATACACTGTCAGGTAGATCACAGTAAGGGTAGAGTTACATCACAGGGTGCGGCCTTTCACTCACTATATCAATCACTTGATTGTCTGGTCCAGACTTGATTATGTAAGTTCTGAAATAGAATATAACCAGTGTTAGGGCTAGATACACTGTCAGGTAGATCACAGTAAGGGTAGAGTTACATCACAGGGTGCGGTCTTTCACTCACTATATCAATCACTTGATTGTCTGGTTCAGACTTGATTATGTAAGTTCTGAACTAGAATATAACCAGGGTTATGGTTAGATACACTGTCAGGTAGATCACAGCAAGGGTAGAGTTACATCACAGGGTGCGGCCTTTCACTATATTTATCACTTGATTGTCTGATCCACACTTGATTATGTATTTATGATTGCAAGCAACCAAACGTTAATAATTCCACACATAAGTTGTGAGTGATGCTTAATACCATGTTTACCTGCATGTCTGACTTAGTAATATACAGAAAAGATGGTGCGGTGCACTCAAAACACTCAAGACAGAAAGTTCAACCACTATTCAGTTACCTTGAAACACTTATTTTCATTTCATACAGAATACAATAACAATATTTGCCAGTTTGTCTGCATGATTGTTAGTTTTCTGCACTCAGCAATTTTTCCAGCTGTGTGATGATAGTTAGCAAATAAATGAGTCAAGACCAGACAATTCAGTGATCGAAATCATGCGGTAATCCAAACAATTAGGACATAATGCCACTCCTTAAACACAGAAACAGGGGAATATATCGTATCTGTTGTATGGGTAGAGTTCTCAACAACGGAAATTATGTAGATAAGTAGATATTGGTGCAATTTTAGTTCAGAAATAAAAGCATTAAGATATTTGTTTGCTGGCGTTTATGGGCCGTTATAACATTAATCCCTTTAGGTGGCACAAGAAACTTTGTGACAGGTGCCAAACTTTGGAATACGGCTTTAAACACGTATTCCCCCCAGTGTATTTACTCCTTAACCCCCAGGCCAACATTTTCATACGCTTTGAAAAGTGAACGTTGTGCGAGAATTGCGCTCGCGTGGTCCTGGGGCCCGTTTCACAAAGCTCTCGTAAGCCTAATATCTCGTAACTGTTCTCGTAACATTCGTATACCTCCTATACTGTAACATAGGAGGTACGGATGCTACGAGAAAAGTTACGAGATCTTAGGCTTACGAGAGCTTTGTGAAACGGGACCCATGCAGGATCTAAGTACGGCTATAAAATTACACAGAAATGTAGAATATTAAATTTCCTATCCGGTCAAGTCCCTCGGATTACACAGGGAAGTACACGTATTTTTTTCCGCAGACCAGCAGTGACGGGCTGTCTGTTTTATTTGTAAACAAATATTTGCGGAAAATATGGCAACACTGAAATTACCGTGAAAACCAGTTTGTATCATAAGTTCTTTTTTACTCATTGCTTATTGCGACAAAAAACAAATATAATATTGTGCCAATGTTTGAAGTGTGAAATGAGGTGCCAAACTTCATATCACCTCACTGTAGCCTCCTCGCCCGTTCTCAAGAATGGCGATGGTCACGTGACTTGGTACATCGAACGTTCAACGTAATATAATTGTTTCTCAGTATCCAGCTCCTTTAAACAATCACTCCGTGTCTATTTTAATACGTGAAAATTAGGAGAAAAATTATGGCAGTTCTTCAACTCCAAATTTTAAAACACAGTAACACACACTGGGCAGAAAACGTCCTCTAAAATTACCAATTTTCTGGCAGACGTTGTCTGAAATTGGGTCACAAAATGTGACGCACGTAACCGGCCACCGGACCAAGGTCAGTGTTTCAAGTACAAAGTTCATGACGTCATCATCGCCTGTTCTGACGTCACGGGGTTCCAGTCGGCTGAAGGCTCCTTTTGATTATTCTGGCGCAGTGATGAGGCCGTGCCAAAGTCTATATTGTAAGCTTGGTCTCTCGTAGCGTCCCAAAGTGTTATGAACTATTTATTTACAATTA